GCCTTCTGTACATGAAAGAGTCCTCTTATTTATAGATAATAGTTGGGTTATAAGAGAATGAGCCCAAAAGCCCTTTTACATGAATATGTCTTATTTATAGACGATAGAAAGACTCAAAATAAATTATAATATCACCCCTGTTTTAAAAAGAGTTAATGCATGATATTTTGGTCTTTTATCGTCGGTGCTTTAAGCTTGGGAGCTTGTCAATTGGTGGAGTTCGGTTGGCTTGCTAAGGTGGTCGATTATGGTAGTCGACTAATGGTTGGGCATCAACTGATTGGTGCTTTAAGCTTGGGAGCTTGTCAATTGGTGGAGCTCGGTTGGCTTGCTAAGGTGGTCAATTATGGTAGTCGACGAATGGTTGGCCATCAACCGATTGGTAGACCCACTTTTAAATAATGATTGATTGTTGGGGGGGTAAGCTGTTTGGGAAGTGTCTGATCAATCATTTGCATGATGTGTATGGGAGGTGCAGAGCACTCAGAGAAAGGCATGCGATGCTTGCGGGGCGGTCACCGATCAATTGCTAGCCTCCCCTCACGTGGTATAGGTCGTGGTACCCACACGAGCTTATTGGATGTAGAAGTAAAACAAGCATGTGGGTTTTCCAGCGAGAAAGGATATGTGGTTGGCTAAGTTTCTTTAGTGCGCATTGTGAAGCGGAAGTGCAGTTCAATGATGCTCGCACCAAGTTTGGCTAATCGTTTTGAGAGATGACTGACCGATTGGTGGGAAGTGGACAGCTCGAAGGGCCTTTTAAGTGGCCAACAAATGAAATTTGAAGTGATCGGAAGGAATCAGTTGACCGACCAATGGGTGGCCGACTAGGAGGAGTTGGACGGTAGATTAGGAGTGGGTTTGAACGGGGGAGTAATTAAAGTTGGACGAAATTTTGCCTTTTGAAGGCCGCAAATGAAGATTTTAAGCCCCCATTCACCTTTCTCTTTTCCTGACCTTTTACGAGCCCTTTTTGGTTGGTGCCAATCGCTAAAAGGCGAATCCAATTATCGCCTTTTCATCAAGCAATCTGAGACCGTTGTTTCGATTCGTCATCCCAAATATTCAGCATAAAATTTAGTGGCTCCTACGCCGACAAGTTCATTTAAATGAATTAATTATTTATATAAATAAATAACTATACTTTACAGTTTACACTGCATCTATTTTTAAAAAATAAATAAACTTGAAAAGAATTTTATATTTTTTTAAATTATTTTTACTTTTAACATGGTTTTTATTAAATATTGGAGTATTTTAGAATAGTTTTATTTTATTCTTAATTTTAAATAAATTAAAAATTATTACAAAAATTATTTTTAAAGATAAAAAATAAAAATTGTTCTCAAATAGGTCCTGAATAAATGACTTGTTTTAAGATTTACATGAATATCATATAGTTCTCATATATTTACATAAACAACACCTAAACTTTAATTGTTAATATACTTATGGCTTTTTATTTATATACTAAAATGTACATTTCACGTTTTTAAAAACAATAAAAATGATAGTTTTAATGCAACATAAAAAATTTAAGTGTTTCAAATATAGATATCATAAGTTAAATACTAAATATAAGTACAAAAAAAATATTATTAGGGTCAAAAAATTGATATTATTTCGATAAATAAAATAAGAGAATAATTTGCTCGAAGTTTTCAAGTGGAGTTTGTGCAAAAAGAAAAGCATTGTTGGAGATTTTAATATAGTGGGTTGAGACGGTGTCATTTAGGGGTGTAAATGAACCGAATACAAACGAACAGAGTGTGTTCGTGTTCGGTTCGTTTGAAATTTAGTTTGTTTGAAATATGCTCGTATTTGAAATTGTTCGTGACTTTGTCTTTGTTTCTTAACGAACGAGCCGAACACGAGCTCTTCACGAACGATGAGCCAATTTGACATCCCTAATATTAATATATATAAATAATATATTATATTAATTATATAACTTATATAATATAAATATATAATATCTATATCAATATATTACTAATATAGTATATTAATATATTATTATTATTATTAATTTATTATATATTACAATTGATAAATTTTAATTTTTAAGAATATCATAAATTATATATACATATATTTTTATTTTAAATTATTTTATATTTTGAACAATAACGATTCAAACACGAATGAACGCATCACTGTTCGTGTTTGATTCGTCTAACTAACCAAACGAAAAAAAAATTGTTCGTGTTTGTCTCGTTTACTTATCGAACGAATCAAACACGAACTTATTGACGAACCGAACACGAACTGTTCGCGAACAACGAGCTTTTTTGACAGCCTTAGTGCCATCAGCCCCAAAATAACATACCAACCAATTTAGTGTATTTTATACATCTAACACCTAAACTCCATTTTAGCATCAAGATGGTGAAAAATGTAAATTCTCTAAAAAAATTAAAATAGTATATTTTATGAAAAAATCATTAGATCACTTATACATAGTATATGTTTATGCATATACTTTGATATAACACCCAATCTAATCTAAATAAATAAACCATGCTGTATTTTGATATTTATTTATTTATTGTCTAAATATTTAAATCACATTAAAAATATCATTGCTATTAACTTTTTTGAAGTGAAATATATCATTTTTTGCATGTGTTTAATATGATTTAGAAACTAAAGTGTTGTACATATAAACATCAAAGTATAGATGTTATTTATATAAATACATGAAAATTTTATGGTATCTATATATACATAAATCCCCTATTCAAACAAATCTTTCATAATGATGCTTGGGACGGGGGATATGTCACATTAGGCTTGTTTTGGCTTGGCTTGGATATGTCACGTTAGGCATGATTTGGGGTTTGACGAGTCTTTTTGATATATTCGGATCCCCATAATCATTTTTCAATATTTTTGATCCAACTAAGCGGTTATCGATGATGACATCGATGTCTCATTACAAATAAGACTTGTGCATGTTATTTACAAATGTTAACATTGACCATCACTCATAAAGTTGATGCATCTCATCTATACTAGCATCAATAAATAGTATCACCAATATCAATAATGCTCACCATCAACACCAACACACCAACCATAATAATTGTTGTGGCTATTAAGACAAATACACGCCATTGAAACTAACATTGGTCCCACATAATCACTAATAAGGCCTATGACCAACGACAACATCAACCTAAGGCACGCTATTGACACCAACGACGATGCATGCCATTGCTATTATGGCCAATGCGAGTTGTCAAGGTCAACCCCAATGCCAGCCATAACCAATAAGATTTTGTTCAACATCATCATCAACGTTAACAAAGCACTAACATCAACACCTAATGTTGATACTAAGGTTTATGTTGTCTTAGTTGTTAGTCTCCCCCAAAGGAGAACAAAATGAACCATCAATGATCTTTTTAGGATAGCACTTAACACGTAAGCTTCACCTCCATCTTGGAAGCCATCTGTCACATCTTAAGTCAAGTCTGCTCCATCAAAATCAAAGTTCTCAAAGCAAGCAAATATTCGAACACAGTCATTTTAAAAGAAAGGGTGCAAACAACGTATAAAAAATCAAACTTGATTAGCCGGTTTGGCCGTGAACCGGTCATAAGTTCAGTTCCGGTTAGCATAAAAACTCTTAAGTCAAGTCTGCTCCATCAAAATCAAAGTTCTCACTACAAGCAAAAATTCAAACACAGGACTGTCATTTTAAAAGTAAGGGTGTAAACAACGTTTAAAAAATCAAACTTGACTAGCCGGTTTGGCCGTGAACCGGTCATAAATTCAGTTCCGGTTAGCATAAAAACTCCCCCCACATAGAATCACCCAAAGCTGAGTAAAACCGGTGGCTAGCTATGAATCAGCAAACCGACTCCGGTTCTGAGCAATCTTTGATTCACGTGCATTTACATGTATACCAGTCAATTTTATGTATTTTACATATCTAACACCTAAACTCTATATTTTACCCATGTATACCAGTCAATTTTATGTATTTTACATATATAACACCTAAACTCTATATTTTATATTTATAACACTCAAATCACTCATATCATATAAAAAAAAATCATTATTACAAAAAAAAAAATCATTTACATACATGCCATCAATTTTATTTATTTGCATATCTAACACCTAAACACTTTTTATTTTGCATATATAGCACCAAAATTATCCATATCACATAAACATATCGCTATTTTAATTTTTAAAAAGTGAAATAAATGTTTTCATGCATTGATAAAATGACATATATTAAATTGAAATTTAGGTTTTAGTTATTTAAATACATATGAATTGAGTGGGATGTAAATCTTATATATTATTATTTTTAAATACACTTATGATTTATTAAGTCATTCGTTCAACCTTTGAACTTTTGAATCTCTCATTCTACCAGTTCAATGTCTGATCCAACTTTCACAACCCAAGTGTAAATGAGTCGAGCTGAGCTCGAGCTATCCTTAACTTCAATCGGGCTTTATTAATTAATCGAGTTTGGGCTAGAGCTTAAGCGTGATTTTATGAATTAGTGTTGGCCTACAAACCAATTTGTTTATTATGAAAGAGAAAATAATATTAATTTAAACTAATTTTATAATAAAATGATAAATTATGAAATAAATAATAATAACACATTTAATATAAATTTAAATATGATTTTAAGGTTTTTTAAAATTTAAATATATTTTTTATATATATTGAGTATAATTTATATTAATATATATTTTTAAAACTAATTGCCACATGAGCTAAATAGTATAGTGGGGGATATGAATCAACAACTAATTAATTCCTTGCCCATCATAAAAAAAAATTAAATTAATTAATTCATAATAATTTTAATGGTTAAAACTGATATTTTTTATGACAGATTAATATAATTAAATTAAATTAAATCACAAATAAATGCTGAAACTTTTTCTAATTGATGTTTAATTAATTTATCAAATAAATGCTGAAACTTTTTCTAATTGATGTTTAATTAATTTATCTACATCTCCTTCAACTCCTACACCAATACACCAATACCCTAACAGGCAACAAGCTGGGTGGGGGACGGCATCGGCACAGCCGACGGCGTGTGGAGAAGAGGATTTCATAAGGGGAGCTCGTGGAAAGCAGGTATCAACGAGACCAGCGGCGTGTGAAGGAGAAGATATGTTCTTGAAGGGAACCTGCTGGCGGTAGAGACGCCGCGGATTTAAGTTGAATCCGTTGAATTCAGTGATTTAACAGATCCGGGATTTGAGGTATAACGAGGGAGAAACGGGATTTAAGATTCTGCAGGAGTTAAGTCCTCCATTGGCGATCTGATTGACTGCCAAGAGATTTGATCGGTCTTACCTCCGCCGAACTGTAGTTATCGTATTCGGCCAAATGACTTATCTCGATTGACATCGTGTTCTGGCGGTGGCAGGACAATGGCTAGAGGAAACGAGGTCTCGCCGATGGAGGTCGACGAGGGAAAACCAGCAGCGAACAATCCTAAGTTCTCGATCAATGGTTCTTTGCTCTCCCTCTCTCTCTCATTTGTTTTTATTTCTTGAATTCATGAGGATTTAGGAAGGTGTTAATGGATACGATTCTGTACCCTGCAGTGCTGCAACTTCTGAAATCCGCTCAGATGCAGCACGGTTTGAGGCATCGGGACTACACCCGCTATCGGTTAGTATGGTTTGCTTCTATGGTAAATGATTTTGACTGCTGCTGTTTCAATTTTGTAGCCAAATTTGTGTTTTTTTACTTCTTTGTTGATCTATAACTGCTCAATTTGATCATTTTTTATTTTGCGAGCTGATTGTTGCCAAATTTTATGCCTGGTAGTGCTAAAATATATTCTTTTGCTTTGTATGAGTAATTATCTGAATGGGCATTGAGCCAAAATCCTGAGCCATCAGGTGACATTTCTTTTATCCTGCATTTGGAGAGAAATTTCCCATCCTATTCTTCTCGGTTGCGTCTTTTCCACTCGAGTTAATGAACCTGAAATTTGATTATTTCTTCATAAAGGTAATTCTAACCTAAGATTTGAGTTTTAATGCGCATTCATTTGCAAAGTAATTCTATCATCAAATATTATGGATGGTATCTAGAAGACATAGAATTTGGCAGCATATACCAAAGGGAGAAAACATCTTCCGTCATAACTTTTAAAGTCTTTATTCTGATTTATGATATCCTTTGGAATCAAAAGTCCAACCACATGTTATTTTGTTCAGTGCATATTCTCCTCTAGTAAATTTTGTTTGCTTATAATTTACTCGTTATTAGCATGAAGTTATGGTTAAATCAGGCCGACCTTTTCTTTTCAGGAGATATTGCACTGCACGGCTGAGAAGGCTATACAAATCATTGAAGTTCACACATGGTCGTGGAAAATATGTAAAGAAAGCTATTACTGAGTCCACCATCACAGAAGTGAGGTATGATGAATAAGTCTGTCTTGAAATTGCTATAACTGAGTCCACCATTTCAGCTGTCAAAAAGTATTTAACTTCCTTTCAAGTTTCTCTAGTGCTTTTATTGTACATTTTGGTTAATATACCATGAAATAAGTGGTGTTGGATTTCTTTTATTAAATGTTAAACAAGTTTAATGCAGTGGATGTAATTTTTTCCCCACACTTTGGTTTGAAATCACATGTCATCAACTAATATTTGTAAAAATGTTTTGATTTGATATTTCTAATCTTTATTTGGATTTTCTTTCATATAGGTTTCTTCATATACTACTCTATATGGCAGAAAGGGCATGGAGCCATGCAATGGAAAAGAGGCATTTGCCTGATGGACCAAATTCACGACAACGCATTTACTTGCTCGGTAAACTAAGGAAGGCAGTAAAGTGGGCTGTACTGTTTTCACAATTGTGTTCCGCAAAAGGAGATTCTAGAACATCTTTAGAAGCTGAGGTTTGGATCTATATGAGATAGGTTATCCGCTTATTATTATTTTTATGTACATTACAATGTGCTACCTTTGAAGCACCAATATTTCAAAAAGTCTTATGGGCCCATATCTGACATGGATTGTTCTTGACATTGCCCTGGCATGTGTTTGATATGCTTAAAATTATGCCGGATGTGTTTTTCTTTTAAAATTAGAGTTGAACACAGTCGAAACGTACCCCAACATGTGGGGATTAGACGCATACATGACAACATGGAATATTCTTGAACTACATATATATATATATATATATTTTAATCAATGAGCTAGCTTTATAAACCTTGTTTTTTTCACAAAGATGCCTAAAGTGATTTCAAAGAGAATATTAGTCTTCGAGTTAATGATCACGACGGCACCATATGTTTTGTCCAATTAGTGATACATTAATCTATTCATATTTTGTGTGATTATTTCATGACTATATACTCTCTTTTGGGTATTTAAATTTCATGAGAACAATACAATGCTGATATTGATAAAATCACATCTAATTATTAATGCTAATGTTGGCTTATTGATAAAATATTAAAAATATAGTTCTAGTAATCTAATGTTAGTTTGTCTTTTGTCAATCCTTAATTTTCTTATGGTATATATGAATTTATATTTCTTTTTTGATACTTTTTTAATTCGAAAGTATTGACATTAGGAATTTTTTATTACACATTTTATGTTAATACTTTTAAAAAAATATAATATTGGGTCCATAATGTGTTGTGTGCTGCTTTTTTAGAATTTTATTTTGCATTTGTGTCTCTCTTTTGTCCATATCTCGTGTAAATGCCCTTGCTTCATAGTGTGCCCCTTTTAGTATTAATAATTTAAATGCTAAGGCTATGCCATGTGGCCACCTTTTTTTCATATTGGCATCTGTAGACGTGCTTTCATGTACATTTTATGTTTGTTAATTCTGTAGCTTAAAAATGGCACTCCTAGGCTTACAAAAGAGTGGTAATTTCATATTTAATATGGATAGTAAACACGGGGAGGTGAACCATCTTTCAATTTGGTTGTTAACAAACAAATTGACTTTACAAATATGATTGATATCTATCTTTTCCTCATTTTAAGTTAGTGGAGTACTATATTATATTTTTTAAACTTCATCATGCATGGTTAATTCACACCATCATTTGCAAGAAAGCATGATATTGAAAGTTCTTAAATTAAACATGTGATTGGTCTCTATAATCCTTGAATAACAAATATTGTATTTTAGTTTATGTTTTACATGAGCCCAAATTTAGTTTATACTTCACCAAATATTACAGCTAGTCTCATTAATTTTTTTTTTAGCAATTTTGACTTTTTGGGAATCACACCATCTCTTAAAGAATTTCTCGAAGCTGTCTAAACAGTCTAAAAAAATTGTAGGAACTTGCTTCCCAACAAATGTATGAATAATTGTTATTTTCATAATAATAATTGTAAATGATTTAAATATTTGGATGGATTCATAGAGGAGATTGGAAAGTATTAGTTGTACAAGTCGCTCTTGACAATTCTTGTGCTTATAGAGCAATAGAAAATAAATTGATAGAGAAGAGAAATTATATCTATTGGACACCATGTGCGGAACATTGCATATGCTTTGTTTTTTTTGAAAACTTGGAGAGTCGCCTTATAGGAATGCCTTGAGCAAATAAAATGAGATTGGGCTAGTTCAGTTATAATCATAGTTAGGTTTTGGTTTTTATAAGACATTTTTTAAAAAAGAACTCCAATCAATCTCTACAACCTAATCTGTTATAGCTTATTTGACTCTACTGAGCATTGTGGAAGCAAGACAATTTTTTGGAGGCTACGTTTACCTTCATGTAATAGCTAAACTATGTTGGGGCTAAGCAAATTTAAGGAAGGTGAGTTTAAAAATTTATTTTAAGTGAAGGCCTTAGTTAAACTATGATGTGAGTTGTGCTATAGCAACAACTAAGCCATTTCATAATTTTTAAACATGGTTGACTTAGACAAAAAAATCAACTATGGTTTTTTTAATAATGTAATGGATGGGGCTTGGGAGTGTATAACCAATAATTTAAGAGAGTAATCTAACTATAAGGAAATTTGGGAAATAATTGGTATAAAGTGGGTACTTCAACTTCATTGTTATTTGCATTTCACGAAATATCATTTTAATTCTCAATTTCCATATGCTGAAAACAAGTCATTTAATCTTGAGATCAAAGTTGGGTTGTACCACTGCATGAATAGATTGATAGCTAACTCAATAGAGAGGATAAAGTTGTTTTCAACCTTTAGTATTTAGAAATATAGAAGAATTTTCTTTAGCTATCAGAAGCCAAAAATACAATTGTAAAATATTCCGCAAGTAATTTTAAACATTTATTTGTTAATATTTCAACAAATCCTTTTACTTTATTAATATTTTTTTGCTTATAATTAGTTAAATGGTGAATTAAATTTGATGATAGCACTCCCAAAGTAAGATTATTTGTCCTTAAAATATTAAGCTTTACATGTTCTTCATCTAGTTGTGAGCAAAATTAAATAGATTTTATTAAGCTCATGTCAAAAGGAGAAATCATTTGATTACCTTAAAGATGAGCTCTTTGAAAATAATAGATTAAAAGATAGGCATTTGAAGAAAAAAGCTTTAGCGGCTTATAAAGATATGTTAGTTTGTAATGATGCGGCAATAAATAATTAATTTTTTGTGGATGATAACAATAAAATTACACGATTGGGTTTACAAGAAGATATTGCCATTAATTTTTTTGATGGAGACAAGAAATAGCAGTATGTCTTGCACAATTCAAGAAAAAATTAACAAAAGTAATTTCTATAAAAACATGTAATTGAAGATATAAACACCAACAGAGACAACAACAACAACAACAAGCATCGATCCCACTAAGTGGGGTCGGCTAGATAAATCCTTTCTCCATTGCGTCCTATTGAGTGTCATATTTTCATTTAATTTTATCAGATTAAGATCATTTTTTATACAATATGCCCGAGTCATTTTAGGTCCACGTCTGCCTTTCTTAACATAAGTCAAATCTGAAACATCTACTCTGCTAACCGACGCTTAATGTGATTAAACTACCTAAGGCGACTATCTCTAATTTTATCCGCCACTGGAGCTACACAAACACTATCATGGATATATTCATTTCGCATTTTGTCTCTAAGTATCAAGTTACTCATCCACCTAAGCATTCTCATCTCAACAATACTTAACTTTGTTTTATGCTTCTCCTTTAAAGGCCAACATTATATGCCATAGAACATTGAAGGTCTCACCACTATCTTATAAAATTTTCCTTCAGGTCCAAGCGATATTTTTTTATCACACAATAAGCCTGATGTATTCTTCCATTTCAACCAACTAACTTGAATTCTACTAATAGCAACCCCATCTATATCACCATAACTTTGAACAATAGACCCGAGATATAATGATTTGATCATCAATAGTTACAACTCTCCCATTACAGCTACAACTACTAAAATTACATTCCATGTATTCAGTTTTAGGTCTACACAAATGAAGGCATTTAGACAAAACCACCAATATAGACATCATTTTAAAATTTAATTATTTTATTATTATTTTTTATTGATTAGGGAAAATGAAGATGGTTGAGATCAAAAATAAGAGGGAAGAGTAGGAGAATATTGATACAATTGAAGATGAGTTAATAGAAATTAGTTTATTATGACAATAATTCTAATGAAGTCTCACTATTTAATGGGAGTGATAGAGACTTTTCAATTTAAAAATTACATTCTTAGCGACTTAGCTTATAAATTATTTATTAATGTTGATTTAAAATTGATGTGATTTATTGTGTCAAATTTTTTTTGATTTTTTTATGTTTCTACTTTCATCATAATCTATTATGATGTTTGTGTGACACTACTTCAAGATTATGATAATTCTTTCTTTTAGTTTTGATATTAATATAATATTTCTTTGTGTAATTTGTTGTTTTCAAGATTTATGCATCAAAATGCCTCGTGGCCTATGCCTCATCTCATGGATAGAAGATATATTAATACCGGCTGTATAAATATAAATCTTGACTGATAGCTCTTGGATTACAACAAAAGGCAAGCGAAACAAGGGCCATAGGAGTTTCCGTCCAAAATAATTGTGGTAGGTTTTTCTGAATATTTGTTGAGTAGGATAAGAAGCATGGACTGATAGAATAGCTAAACACGTGGCAAGACGAGCAAAGATCTTCACATTTGGGTGTTCGGTAGAGTAAGGAGAAAAAAGGATCAAGCGGACTACTAGAATTGCAAAACACGAGCCAAGATAAACTTAGAGCTTCACATTAGGGTGTGATTTGGTAGAGTGATGGGGTATCAAGAGAGAGAGGAAGAGGTAGTGAGAGAGGAAAAGGTAAGGATCTGATAGGTTATGAATAATGGGGATAATGTGGTGGTTGGCCTACTGAATAGGATCGGTTTATGGTGATTAAGTTGGTTTAGGTTAGGTAAATAAAATTTTTATGTCTTTTATGGAAGTGTTCATTGATTCAAAAGTGCAAGCAAATATAAATTAAGTTTGATTTGAATTTTGGAGGGGAAAAGTGTTTGGCAATTTTGTGCTGCGATTGAATTTCATGTGAAAACCAAATTTTTTTAGAGAGAAAGGGGGATGCAGATGAAAGAGGATAGAACATTTTTGTTTCTAATAGGCGGGAGATTATGGAAGCAAAATTGATGGAGAAAATGGGAGTGGGATGGAGAAATAAGCTAATCATATTTACTTACGTAATAATGAGAAAATTACGGACAGAGAAGGGGCATTGGTGAAGGGGTATTCATTCAGTGAGAGGGTTGATTAAGGCTCAAGAGGAGATTTTTGTGAAGAATTATGGTAGTTTATTGAATGTAGTTCAGAGTTTAACTTTGGATAAATGTAAGGTTGATCAAGAGCCATATAAGATCTTGAGAAAAAGGTTGAATTGATTATGGTGGCCGATGATTTAAG